AGGGGGAGGAGGACCTAGTGAGCTGGAGAATCTGACCCAGAGCTCAGTGGTGCCTTTTTAAAAAGGCATCCAGGTGAAGTGACTGTGTGGTTTTTCCACAAACCAGAGATGTCCTGTTAAAATCAGTGTGCCCTAGGCTAATGGCTCTGCACCCTAAAGACAGCAAAGAAAGTCACCCTGATCATTCAGATAAAAGTAACATTTACCCAAATGATAAGAGACTCGAATATAATTTCTGCATCAGCTGCATCTTGCAAGCTGTTCTGCAACTTGCCAGACAGTGTTTGATATTTGGATAGTGTTTGTGAAAGGCAGATAAAAGGTTAATGGGAAATATCTCTGACAGTTGCTGGATGTAATTTAGAGATGGACTACAGCCATGTAGTTACATACCAGATTTGGGGTTTGGCTCCTTATATTAGAGAGATAAGGCCCAGGGATGGATACACACATTCAACCAGAGCTGAGTTTTCCAAAAAGACAGTTTCGGCCTGAAAAGGAACAGGCAGTTTAACATCCGAACCACCTGCTCTCTGTGATGCACCACCTTCCAGGCACTCTTTAAAGGTGTTGGGTGCTGGTGGTACCATTTAGTCCTTCCTCTCTTACTACTTCCCAGAGAGGGGTTGAGGGTGGCAGTGATGACCAGTTACTCATGTCTTAGTCCTTGTTTATCTCAGTAGCATTTAGCAGAAGAAAACAACAAAGGTATTCCTTACTCTTCCTTACTGTTCTTATTCCTCTTGTTGATCAAACTGTGCCTTTTCTTATTCACTTCATGTTCCTGGGACTTGTGTCTTCCCACACACCAGCTTTATGCAGCACAGGCTGAAAAATGTTCTGCTACAGCTTCTGTATTAAGAGAGTGATTTATTAAGGTGTTCAGAATATGACTTTCATTTCAACTACATCCACTGAGGTTGATTTTTTTCTTTTGTGTCTCCAAACAGATTCCTCTTGCAAAATATGTTGGTTTTTTTTTCCATCTCTGGCTTATCCTTTAGCTCTTTTGAAATCTTTTTTGAAAAACATCATCTCAGCCCCCAATTGTGCTTTGAACTTTGGGGCTGTGCAAAAAAGCTGTTTGGGAAGACAACTGCTAAGATGAGGCTCTGAACTTACATGGGCACAAATGCCCAGAAACACTGAAGAGAGGCCTGAAACCATTGGTTTGAAAGTACAAAATTTTGTGGCTCTCGTATTATATATAATATCTTGTTCAAATGACAGCTTTTCTAGAGACAGAATGTCTCCCAGTGCCATTCTGGGAAATTAAATTCAGTGTTGAGTTTGCATAAAGAGAGAGGAGAGCTACTTGCTGCTTCATCACTTTATGAGCCTGGTATCTGTACCACTGCTTAGCAAATTTTGCTTCCAGTAATCCTCTATTTCTTCAGAGCTGAGCACCAAGAGCACACTCTGAGCAATTCCTACAGAAAGACTACAAAACCAACACCTCAGAATAAAGTTATCACCTTTGGCTTATAACTAAAACTCCCAGGGCAATTAGTGGTACTTGCAGAGGCATTACTGAGCCTGTGATTCTTCTCTCCTGTGGGATCTCCAGCGCTTTTGCAGGTGGCTGGGGGTAGGCGAGTGCGCCTGGGGTAACATTCCTGTTTGCTGGGCTGCTGGAATTCAGCTGCCCTCCTTAACAAAACAGTTTGGTTTGGACATTTTTAATGCATGTGCCATGTGTAAAGGTGCATTTGGAGGAAAAACTAAGCAGAACTAAGGCACTGAAAGGTGAGGTTGTAAAATTGGTGTTTCTCAGCTTTGATTAATATTGACTGTTAATCTTGTTTTCTCGTGCCACTGCTTTTTCCAGGTAAAAGATGTTGAAGAGCAGCCCAAAGCATCTGACAATGCCAAATACAGATGCAGTAGCTCAGTATATGCCTGTGCTGGAAATCAGCATTGCAGTTTTCCTGTCAGAGTTGGGTGTAGGGTAACAATTTAATTCAATTAATTCTGCCAGAGATATTGCCATTCCCTTTTCACCTGTTGCACCACAACACCTAAAGACTGGTGAGTGTGGACACACAGCTGTGCTGAACCATAGCAGAATTGCAGAGATGCTTTGGTCCCTGCTTAACTGAGCAAACTCCCATTTATGCATGTATTAGGTTTTCACTGCCTGTCGCCTGTTCCTCTCCCCCCTCTGCTTTTTCATGTTCAGTGGACTCTCCTCTCTGTGTCTCTGCCTCTCTCTCTATTTTTTTTCCTCCCTATTGTTCCCCACGTCACTAACTGTCACTCACTTCATAAAGCCGTCTGGCTCGGAGCTTAAATATTGCAGGGCAACTAAAACCCACCATCAGAGCCAATTCAGTCATATCTGCTCAGTCGTGCGACAAGATTGGGGCTTTTAGGGTAGGGAAGAAGAGAGACAAAAGTTCACTCTTCCCTGCAGAGTGCCAAGAGAGGAGGGGGACACATTTCTTCGGTGGAGCCTTTCACAGCGGCAAGTTGCTTGCTCAACATCCTTAACCTGTACAGTCTTTTTTGCTGGTAGCGTGCTCAGGGTGCGACGTCCGGAAGCGCAGGGTGGGGGTCTGCAACGAGCCCACGAGAGCTGAGAACACGAATCCGTTGACTCTTGAGCGGGCTTAGGCAGTGTCCTGCTCCTTCCTCACGACAGGCAGTTTTTTAAGGGAGAAGGTGAACTGCATAAGTACGTTGCTCACACCTTTTTCCTGAGACTCGAGGGGCTGGCTGCTCGCAGGTGGAATCCTGAACATCTGAACTGGTCGTGCCACTCGTCATCAGTCCACCCAATATTGTTGCTTGCAGTTGAGCCAACTGAGCAACCTCGAACCACTTCACTTGCAGAAAACGGAGAGGGTGGTCATGGCAGAGTTTTAAAAAAATGTGGCCGGTTCGGAAGTTGTCTCAGGAAGAGTTCAGCCAAATGTAGCAAGCTGTGAGCGAGACAATTGGTGGAGTTAGCCAGGGAACATTTTTCCTTCTCCTGTACAGTGAGTTTTCTGTGTGATAAGGTTTATCACATCTAGGATGTTGCTCTTGTGTGCTGCAGTGCTAATGTTCGAAAGGTAGTGTGGCTTATCGGCGTGACTCACAAAGGAAGAGAGGGATGGAGTTAACTGAGGTGCCTGGGGGACAATGAAGTTTATACTGCGTGTAGTCATGTTCTTTACAGAGTTGCACATGATTGGTAACTGTTGGGTGTACTTTGCTCTGTGAATTTGCAGAAAGAGGATGTTTAAATCAGTTTAGATAATGTATGTAAACAGCGTAATCTTCTGCTAGACTTGTTAATGTAAGCGCTGACATTAACACACTCCTTTACACAACTTTAATGACTGAGAAAGTGGCAATTTTCTTCGGTGATTAAATTATACGTTTGCTGCTTCCTCCTGCGAGGTGTTTGTGCAAGCTGAAGGGCTGCATTCTGTTTTTCCTTTTCTAACACGGGTGCCTGGGGTTAAAAGAATGTTATGAGGTTCGAGGGCAACGGAATATGAGTCCATCTTGTTTGAGCAAAATGCCATCGTAAGCATTTTTTTTGACTGAAAATTGGTGAAATTCCCTAGAGCTGTAGAGCTCTCAATATTGTGTGTGTTTTTCTGTGTGTGAATATGTACACACAGTAGTTGAGGCAGATTAGTATGCGTTGGTGTGTCATAACATATGGCATTACAAATATATCCCAGTGGTATCTGAAGGAGGAGGGAAGTTTAGATGCTCGGATTTCCATGCTCTTGGCTGTACCTTCTTTTTCCTAGTGCTTGTGTATGTGTGTGTGCATTTAAGAGACTATAGATGGAGGTAGTATCTAAGAGATGAACTTCTAGATCCCTGTGAACAGCTGTTTTATGAATAATGTTCCCTGTTTCACTTGTCATGGTCCACCAGTCGGTCTTTCTGGACCACTTTAATGCTCTGCATTTCTCAGAGGCTTCAGACTGCTGTGGTGTGTTTAAATCAGCACATTCAAAAAACCTTTCCTTTCTATTTCCCTCATACAGAGGTTTTCCCTTGCCTGAAATGATATAGTGGGAAGTTCAGGATATGCAGGATGAAGTCCTGACCTAGGAATAATTTCTTAGCATGCAAAAATAATGACAGATGTAATATTTGACTTACATCACTTGAAAATGGACTACTTTCTTAGCTTTCCAGTAGGATATCTGCAGCTGGCTTCCAGCACTGTGTCAGCTTGAGATAGCAGCACTGACATTTCAGAGACAGCAAGTAGTATTTTAGGTCCCAGTTAGAGACCTTTGTGTTTTTCCTCGGGTTGGTTCCAATGTCAGTGTGGCAACTGACTTCAGAAGGGGATGCAAAGAATAGCCCCAATAACTGTATTGTACATAATGTATTTTGTGTAGCAAAACTAGTCTGTGTAGTAGTTATTAAGCTTATACAGTATTACTAATATAAGTAATGGTGTTGTAATTGCTGTTCTTACCTAACAGAGGGGTTGCTAATGTAGAATTAATATATGCAGTCTAGAGAGAATCCAGGTTTATGTAGGTGCAAGATGGGTGCAAATGTGAGATCTGTTTGACCCCTGTGTGGTGTTCTGGTGCAGGAGAGCTCGGGTGCTTGAAAGCTGCACTCTCTTTTCTAACCACTGCAGCTGCATGCTGATAAATCTGTTCCACTGTATTGCTGGTGAGTGTTTGTACGTGTAAGAAATCTAAGCAGGCTCACGCAACCAAGCCTACAAGGCACCGCAGAAGACTCTCACCTGGAAAAGGAGATAAATATACTCCCTGGCTGAAAAGTAATTGCCCATTTAGTGCCATGAAAGAAAGAATTTAGCAAGCAGCTTGCTCTGGCTTCCCAGCTCTTCTCCTGCTGATAAATCATTGTGATCAGGCAAATCAGCAAGTAAGCAAACGACCATCTTTCTGTTCTCAAAGCATATTAGGGAAATACTGATTGAAAGCAGAAAAAATATCAGTGGGAAAACCTGAAATCTTTTAAATTTTAGCATAATTTGTGGTCTTTCTCTTTCTTTTTTCTTCCCTTAGACAGTAAGAAATGGGTGACTGGAGTTTCTTGGGGAACATTTTAGAGCAGGTGAACGAGCAATCCACTGTCATCGGGAGAGTTTGGCTCACAGTGCTCTTCATTTTCCGCATCCTGATCCTGGGGACGGCTGCCGAGCTGGTGTGGGGAGACGAACAGTCAGACTTTGTGTGCAACACCCAGCAACCCGGTTGTGAGAACGTCTGCTATGACGAGGCCTTCCCCATCTCCCACATCCGGCTCTGGGTCCTGCAGATCATTTTTGTATCCACGCCTTCGCTGATGTACTTTGGGCACGCTGTGCACCACGTCCGCATGGAGGAGAAGAGGAAAGAGAGGGAGGAAGCTGAGCGGCGCCAGCAGGCTGAGGTGGACGAAGAGAAGCTGCCCCTGGCTCCAAACCAAAACAAAGGCAACAACCCCGATGCAACCAAGAAGTTTCGCCTGGAAGGTACTCTCCTGAGAACGTATATCTTCCACATCATTTTCAAAACCCTCTTTGAGGTGGGATTCATAGTAGGTCAGTACTTCCTGTACGGCTTCCGGATTCTCCCCCTTTACCGCTGCGGGCGGTGGCCCTGTCCCAATCTTGTGGACTGTTTTGTCTCCAGGCCCACGGAGAAGACCATCTTTATTATGTTCATGTTGGTGGTGGCTGCCGTATCCCTCTTCCTCAACCTGGTGGAGATCAGTCACTTGATCCTGAAAAGAATCCGGAGGGCTCTGAGAAGACCACCAGAGGAACCGCTTGGAGAGGTCCCGGAGAAGCCTCTCCCTGCCATCACAGTCCCCACCATCCCAAAGACCAAAGGCTACAAGCTGCTGGAAGAAGAGAAGCCGGTGTCCCTCTATTTCCCTCTCACGGAAGTAGGGGTTGAGCCCAGCCCCCTTCCATCAGCCTACAATGAGTTTGAGGAGAAGATTGGGGTGGCTCCACTGGAAGATCTCTCCAGGGCATTTGATGAGAGGTTGCCATCGTATGCACCAGCGAAGGAACCAGAAGAGGAGAAGGTCAGAGCAGAGGAGGAGGAGGAGCTAGAAGAGCAGCCTGAGGAGCCAGGGGTGAAGAGAGCAGAAGAGGAGGTGGTGAGCGATGAAGTGGAAGGGCCTTCAGCACCTGCTGAACTCGCCACTGATATGAGACCCCTCAGCAGGCTAAGTAAAGCCAGCAGCCGGGCCAGGTCAGATGATTTGACTGTATGAAGGTGCAGGATACAGGGAGCACATGAAAAGGAAAAAGTTGAAGAGAAAAGGAGAGATAGAGAAAGAATCAAAAGATATTTTTAAGCAAAGCGCTAAAGTGGCCATTTGAATATTATTTCCTTTCATGATTCCCAACTGGAAAGGTACTACCATGGTAACTGTGCCTTATTTGCCCTGTATGTCCCTGTATTTCCCTGTTTCCACATACCAGCTCACTCCTTACAGTAATATCTACACTGTACACGTAACTGATGTATTTTAAAACCTAACATGGCAGTGATACTCAAATGTTGCCACTGTGAACATATTTACTGAAAGCCTTGTGTTCCACATTTCTCTGGGAATGTGGGGAGGATCTGTCTTTCAGCTAGCAAGGGGGAAGACTGATCAACAACTGTATCTAGTCTTTCTTTTTCTGTTTCCACCTATGGCTTGCTGAGCAGATCTTCCCTTTGCTGTTGGCATGGAATTGCAGTTAAATTTAATCCACAAAGTGAATTCTGTGCTTAGCATCAACACACTAAAATAGCAAGCCCAACTTCCCTTCTCTATCCAGAAAATAAAATCCAAAAATGTTCCCAATTTCTCTGTGAATGCATATCTGACTTAGGTAAAAATATTTTCCCTTTGTCAAAAATATTTCTGCCCTTCAAGTGACATTGAGAGTGGGTAAGGTTGACAGTGGCTCTCTACTAGGATTTAGCAGATGCCCAGAGAAGGATTATTTGTTCCCAAGAGGGTCACCCAGCCCTGAGACTATTTCAGTATACTGGAAAGAATAAATTCAAGTGATATTTTTTACTTGTAGCCTTGTGACTTAAAGATCTGAAGCTTGATTTAGCCAAGCAAGCGTGGGAAGGCTTCTGAGAAAGGAGGGAACAGCTACAGCCCCCAGAGCATGAAACCAAATACAAGCCTTCATGGTATGATCCTGACATGTGCTCAGTTCCTGGAGCTTGCAGGCTTCCAGGCACTCAGCAAATCTCAGGTACAGAGTCCTGAAGGCACCTGTGGACCTATACCAGGGGTCTGGGTAACTATGTGACTTCTTAAACCTCTAAATACAAAACTGGTTGGTCAAGTTTGAAAAGACTGGTATGGTAATAGCCTTTTGACATCTTTTGTTTTTAATTTGACAGACAGGAGCCGTTCAGTGGGCTACTTTTCTATTAAATGCCGAAGTCTCACTCAAGTAAGACAAGGCCTTTCACAAGATGATTTAGACCTTTTGTGCCAACAGGTCTGTACAGAACTCTGAGACTCAGAAAAATATTTTTTACGGAAGGCAGAAAATCATGTGCTTGCAATGTTTAGATGTCTAATATAGATTTCTAAGTTCAGGACTACAGCAGCACCTTTTGGCTGGGACAGTGCAGCGATGTGTTCAAAAGCTTCAGGTTAGCAGCTGTGTCCCCCCAAAGCTGAGCCTCATGCCAAAAAAGTGCAGGTATGCACTCTCATCTGCTCTGCTCTGCAAACCTCAGACCCTGCCATCTCAGCAAATTCTTTCTGCTGGGCTGCAGCCTATCCCATTGTTCCCGGGGCAGGCTTTAATCCAGGTCAGGGAAAAAAGGTTTTTTGGCACAATGCATAAAACTCATCCCGCCATCAGCTAGAAAAGACCCCCCGGGGCCTCCCATTGTAGCAGGTCTGACTCAAAGCCCGTGGGAGTCAAAACGGGGCGTCTGCGAGAGCTCTGGGCAGGCTCGGGCTCACACCTCCAGTCCCGCTGCCCCACGTCCCAGCCCGGGCAGCCACCGGTGCAGTCAGTCCTGTCACTCGCTGGTCTAACCCAGTCTCTGGTGGAGTTTCCCTGCCCAAGTCACGCAGCTGCCCCCGGTGAGAGCAGAGGTGGCTGGACTTCACTGCCGAGTGACGTTAAGCTGTACATATGTAGAAAGTTTGTGGGGTGCACTGGGGTTCTTCAGCACCACAGCGGTGCCACGTATTTTATTATTTTTTACACTCATAATCCCTTTGCTCCTCTTGGGCCTGTGTATTTTCCCCAAGGTGTGCAACCTTTGCTCCTTAGAAAAAGGCTGTTAGGTTGTCCTTCCTTGTGAAGGAAGACTGGAAGGTACCTCCTCAGTTTCGGGAAGGAATAGGACAAAGCAAAAGGACGTGCAGAGAGAGTGTCTGTAGATTACAATTTGTCCATGCTCCTAATACAGGAACAGGAGGACAGTTATCACAGACGAAAGGGAACTGAGGAAAGAGAATGTTTTTCAGAAGGAAAAGAGTCCACTGTGCCCAATTCAAGATACTAGAATTCAAGAAAGGGCAAAGATTTAGATGAACAAGAAAATCACCACATTTATACTAGATGGGATCTATTACTTTTTTATTTTTCCCACAGAAAGATATAAGAGAGTTTTAACGGTTCTGAGCATCAACCAACCTACTTGCTGAAGGGGCTTGGAAACATACTTTCCTGTAGGTAAAACCCAAAACCCTGTAAAGGTTTGGTATGAGGGGTCTTCTGCCTTCTTCAGAGCATCTGACCCTTCCAGATAACAGTTCACTGGACTAGATGAATCACTAGATGAATCACGCCCACCTTTGTTGCTTTCTAATTAACAATTCCACTCCTGCTCTCAACCTCTGACATTCATACCCTCGTTAGACCCCGGGGCTACTTAAAGATGAGTGCTTACTCTCATCAGGAGCGTATGGTTCACAACAGGGCTGTCAGGCAGGCCAGTCTTTGATCACCACATGTTGGGTACGTCATTCTTTCTCACTGGAGAGCCTCTGTAAAATGCACTATATGCACTCGATGGACACTGTAGTTCTTCCACAGCCGCCGCGGGAACGCTTGTTTCTTCCTCCGGGTCACGACTGCGCAGTGAGACGAGCCAGCGTCTTCCTCCTGCATCCAGTCAACTGCTTGATTTTCTTTTTTTTTTTTTTAAAAAAGCCAGTTTTCAAGTACCCTGCCAGGCTGTTGGTGAATCTGTAGCCGCCAAGGACGGGCCACGGCATCAGGACATGGGCAGGGAACTGATAGTCCGGTCTTCCGGCACTCAGCCTCATCTCTGCGATGAAATCACTGTGGGACTGTCAGCGAGTCATTCTTCCTTCTTGTGCAATTGGGAATAATCTTCTACCTTACAGTGATGATGTGAGGCTTGATATATTGTGCTAGTAATGGAAAGGGAGGTCCTTGGATGGAAGGCCCTACAGATGAGCAAAGGATTATTGCTATTTCTGGATGTGATAGCATATAAATGTGTTTTATTCCCTCTCAATGAGACAAATTTAAATGTTTATTCAAGAAATTCCTAGCGAAGTTGCATAACAGCCTCAGAGCTGTGGATTCACTGTATGATTCTACTTACAAATAATTATGCAAAACATACATATATATATATATATATATATATATATGAAGAACAGGGAAAATTATCTCCTTGGGAAGGGGGAAGTCACTGGATAATTAGAGCCATGCCTGGATCATTTAAAGGTGTGTTTACCCCCTTGGCTCCCTGTGCAAATAAATTACTAACTGATCACATGGCTCTCTGCAAGGAGCATAAAATGCAAGTGTCAAAATCACCAAAGGAGGTGATAGTAGAAGAGAAAGGTAGTCTCTTAGCTTACAATAGCATGTGGAGGTTGGTGTTCTCTAGTGTCTAGAGCAGTGGACCTAGGATAATAATCTTAGATTTATTTCCAGCTCTGCTTCTGACTTGCTGTGATAATCACTTTACCTCTCAGTGCCTGTTTTCTCCACCTGTAAAAATGGGTGTAAGAATTTCCACCTACCTCACAGGGATGTTGTGAGGCTTCCTTAATTCTGTTTGTAAAGTAAGTAGGAATGATCTGATGAAAAGCACTGCTGAAATGCATGGTATCCTTGTTATTTCCTGGCAGAACTGCTAACTCGGTTAATTTATGACTCCTCGACCAGAAGGGCAGTAGTTTGGAAATGTGAACACTGCACTGCACTGACAACATTAACATGGACGTGGATTTGCCATGGGTAAAAAAAGACTTTGTTGATTACCTCATCCTTCTCTCCCACCTTAGCCTTGGCCTTGCCAGATATGAAGCTGTGGTGAGTGTGGTTACATGGACCCCTCTTCATCCCCAGCATCCATTCTGGGGCAGAATTTATGCTTAAATAAGGCAGTTCCTGGAGTGCGGGGTTCGGGTTGGTGGAGCTCTGACTGTTTTAAAGTCCTTGCAAGGGAGGGGGCTGTATCACACAGTGTATTGCTGGGCTTCTGTTTCAAACCACTCAGTGTCATAGACACCAACAATCTCTTAGTGCTGAAACAAAATGAGGCACAGATTCCTCCTCCTGTAGGAGGGGAGAGATTTGTGGGGGGGATCTCTGCTCTCTAGGTCTGTGTGGGCATGAAATCTACTTACTGAGGGGGGAAGTCCCATCTCTCCTGCCACTCAGTAACTCACTGACTGTGCAGTTTTACATTTAAAGAGCGGCTGTGTCACACAATGATGAAAAAAGGTGGCAGTTTGCTGTTTTGTATAGAAAATGGCTTTTCAGGCTGACAACTGAAAGTAATCCTAGCCTAGGCGTAGTTTTGTTTAGTAAAGGCAGGAACATCCATGAGAACTAGACTAAAGCCTTCCTGGAAGCCCAAGGCAGTTGTGATAAAACAGTACATGGTGCCAGATTTCCTGAGGGCCAGGGTTGGGTAAACGTACCAAAATCGGGGGACTTGTCTAAGTATTGGAATAAGTTTTTTCCCCAAAAGAATGACACCACCATTTTTCAGGCTCTGTGTGTGCTAAACCTTTTAACATGGCTCAGGAAAGGCTTTTTGCCAACACCAAATGTGCTTATACAGCTGAGCAGTAACCATGGCAAACGGATGTGTGTCGATTTGCCAAGACATAGCCTGGCACACAATCCTTTCCTGGCAACCAGCTTGGCATGCACCTATTTCAGTAGAAGAGGCAAGACTCATTTATCTATCAACAATTCAAGCTTTTCTCTCGGCAGCCTGATGTACAAAGAGACATTGAAGGTTTGTGCAGCCTAGAGAGGAGGGGGCTAGGGGTATGGGGTCAGGTACCTAATGGGGAGTTCCAGAGATGATGGAGGCAGAATCTCAATGGAGGGGAGTTCCAGGGAAGATGGAGGCAGACTCTCAACAGAGGTGCACAGCAAAAGATCAGAGGCAACAATCACAATGAGCAGGGAAGGAAAACTTTGACTAAAAAATTCTGACAAGGGAAAAAATTGTTCAAGAGGAGAGTGGTTCAGCACTAAAGCAGGTGCCCAGAGGCGGGGTGGGATCTTCATCCGTGGGGGATGAAGCTTGGCTGGGAAAAGCCTTGTGCACCCTAGTCTGACTTTGCATTGAGCTGAAGGTTGGGCCAGCTGGTCCCTTCCAGCCTGAACTACCTATCCCATGGGATACCCCAAGTTGAAAGCTCAGTGCAGCCACTGCATGGTGGGATGACGTGTGCAGGGCACTTTCTGCCTCTCCAGGGTGTTCTGGTAGAGCTGGTTTAGACTGTCCCACACCAACTAACCAGGCACTGCACACACAGAATAAACTGTGCAAGTGTCCAAGGCCAGGTTGGACGGGGCTTTGAGCAACCTGGTCTAGTGGAACGTGTGCCTGCCCATGGCAGGGAGGTTGGAATGAGATGATCCTTCAGGATCCCTTCCAACCCAAACCATTCTATGATTCTGTGATTCTATGAACTGATGTTTGGTAGCTACAGAAGCTGCTTGAGACCAGAATTGTGTTGTGTAACTGGTTTGGAAAAAGCATCACAAATAAAAAAAAAGAAAAACAAAAAAGAAAAAAAAAAGAGAGTATGCTTGTCAACAGATAAAATCATGGAACTGTAAGAGGCTTAGGTCTTTCCAGCTCCCTTTAATTTCAGTGTCAAGTGTGCCTTTAAATCCATCTGAAAGTGCAGAGGACTGCATTTTAACATTCTGTCCACAAAAACCT